AGTCCTAAATAGATACGAGTAAGCGAGTGGAGAAGCACGATATGAATGGTCCTCCTACGTCGAAAGACCTAAAAAGAACTAATTCCCGCATGCGAAACGGGAAAGTCGCCCGAGATGGCGTATTGCCCACCGAACCGTTCAAACTTTGTGGACAATTGATACAATATAAATTTCTCAACTAAACTCGTTCAATGCGGAACGTTGAAGATGATCCATAGCGCTATAATGGCGCCAAAGGTGCGCCATTTCCAAAAGGGAAAGGCAATTAACAAAGGGCGATCGTGGAAGCAGCCTATTGTTGTGCTGGCAAGGTCCCGGCTCGTATTCCGATCAGCCGGACGGACGTTAACCTTTCAAGTGGAGTTGTTCCAGAGGAACGGTGTGAAGTCTGGAGATGGAGTACTTGATATTCTCAGTACGGAGAGCACAATATAAATGCCACGGGCGAAACACTATGCCGTTCTGAAAGTTCTTTGACAGAGTATACGGAGAAGCAGTGTGAATCACTTTTCGGAGGCTAGGCTGTTAACAAATTATATAAATGCCACGGGCGAAACACTATGCCCTTCTGAATGTTCTTTGACAGAGTATACGGAGGAGCAGTGTGAATCACTTTTCGCAGGCTAGGCTGTTAACAAATGCACCAGTTTTATCCAGCTCTTTCACCCTGGGATTGAGACTGAGGCTCAAGCTTGCGGGTTTTAACACTGACACCGGAGTAAGTGAGACTACACTCAGTTTCTTCAGCTTGTATATAAGTGAATAGGGCTATCAAGCATCGTCTAGATGGCCAGATTGTTTAATCAGAAGTGGTTCTTCGCCAAACGAATGTTACAAGAAACATTCTGAAGCAGATTTGCTACTTCTAGCCACAACATTCACATCTATGTCCTGTTTTGGCTAAATCTATTCCTAAAAAGCTTGCTTAATATGAATCTGTTCGTGAGGAACACTAAATCTAACCAGCCGCAGATAGTAGCATGTATCTGATACCTCGATAGTACTCTGGCGAAAAAGGGTTGAGTTAGTGCATATCGAAGGGTAGTGTGACATCTGCACGGCGTCAAAGACGTAGCTGTGACCATCCCCAAATGTATATGGTCAAAAAAAACCGCGAGGTTGCAGTAATATTGTTTTGCCCCCCCTCCAATATAGCAGCAAGACCCGCATTAGGTTAATCGATATACTACCTCTCCAGTGTTTGCAGAATAATACGCGCGTATCTCGAATACACAAGTTCTCCAGAAGACAAAAATATTCTGAATCAAAAGCATCCGGATTCACAACCCGTTGCACAGGCTGGGTAATGTGAAACTCAAGGCACCGGATCGCATCCAAAAATAATCTCTGTATGGGTAGTTGGAAGAGAGACCGAAACTACAATACAAAGACAGATTTCAGGTGAGTTCAATTAGCATCGGTTTAGGTTTTAGTTCGTGAGCGAATCTGGTATTGAACAGAGGCATATGGCTAAAGGTGACACGGGCAGTTTTCGGTACAAAAAGACAAATAACTCACTCATGAGTGATTTACAAACGAGCGTAGCGACACCAGCACCTGTTTTTCATGACAACTGATACGGTTCAGCCTGGGTAGCCCGTGGGAGAAGATATAATCTTATGGTACTGTGCGAAGGAAGTGCGGTGTTGTACTAAAACGTGAAGGATCCGTGGAAGACACATGGGGGATCAACATGATGTTGGTGTCCGTTGTAACACCATCTCCTTAGACCAACTGGCACATCTCAAAAGGCTTGTCCATCTATCCTATCATTTCGGTTTCACAATGGATTTTCTGTCATCTGTGGTACCACATACGTCTGCGTACAAACCGTTTGTAGTGTCCTAACTACGCACAGGCATTCAGTAGTCCAAATTCTGCTGACGGGTGAATCCCTGTTGGATGCTAACTATCCTATGTTCGCGAAACTTGTCCCAAAGAAGAATGTGACTACGTACGAAGGGAGAAAAACATCTGTGTCATTAAAGGCCACTTGTGAAAGCAGTCTGAGCAAGCAACCATGTTGCTATTTCAAGGCTGATTTAGTAAGGAGAAGCCAAGATAGTCCAGGACTAGTAACTAAGGTTGCCGAAATACTATCCACTAAATTCCGACGGACTAGGTGCTTGAATAGGCTCTTGACCCAGTTGTGCTCTTCCACGCTTCGGAGATTGAAGGAAACGACCCGGCTGTCTGAAATTCAGGTGGGAGCATGTGGAAATCTATTGACACCACGAGCAGAGAGAGCTTTGCACCGCGTTAACTCACTCCCTCAAACCGAAGGCAAAGATGAACTGCGAAAGTGGAAATCAAATATCCGACTTGAGTTCATGTCAACATACAAGATGAGGCAAAGTTTTTCAGGTGCCTTTTACGAATAGCCATTTCAAGGAACAAGGCATACAGAGATATACGACCAATCATTCCAGTAAAATTGATTGATCACTCACCGTTGCTCGCCAGGTACACATACTAGGTGTGAAGGCATTATAGCTCTTGTCTCCAACCGTACTCTTAAAATAATACTCACGGCTCCAAGTTCTAAGTCTCGAAATGCATAAAAAAAAACTCCATAAACCTCATTACTTCACACACATTTCACACTGCAGGAACATTCTGAAGACATTAATCCACCTAATCACCATGTGGTTGTAAAAAATCACCGGGTATACATTGATCCTTCAACTGAATCGACTAACAAGATGCGCTCACATCATTATGGCAGCGCGGAGTTTAAGGTAAATTCCAGATTGGCTAGTCTATCGCCAGAATTGACCACATTGACTTTCAAATTACTTCAATCTAGGTCTAGATGGAGGATGTACAATAACGGGCTAGGCTCAGAGAATAGATGGACAATTACTTGACTAACAACCAATATGCACTAGAACTTAGGTTATTTTGACATTTCCAACTTTATATGGACCACCTTGAGGTAGTTCATGACTGCTCGTGCTTCAGTTGACCATTGTTCGTGAAAAGGCAGAGCTCGAGATCATACATGTTCAGATAGGCCAGACAGTAAACTTCGTCGATTCATTTAGGCGACGAACCTACCCGGGAGGATTAAAGGGTTTAGCTAAGCTCGTGACGTCAGGATCAGTGAATTCGATTTCCAGCAGGCCATCACATTTACACAGTACCTGTCAGTCACAGTATGGTAAAACCATTAGAAACCGCACAATGATTTGGGCTTGGAATGATCGAGCGAGGCAAAAACCTGGTAGTGTGAGTAATTTGCAAGTAAAAGCTATCTTACAAAACAGCAACAGATCTTCAGTTGGTTAGTCAAATCTACCTCCATCAATGGTGAATAGTCTGTTTGAATTTTTTGCTGGTTAGCGTATTCCTCCGGGGCCGTGCCATTCCAGTTTCAGTAGACACTGGGTTGAACTTAGAGCTGAGTTACCTTGGGAGCTATCATCTCGCGTTCCTATTGGGACCGATTCACAACCCGTTGCACAGGCTGGGTAATGTGAAACTCAAGGCACCGGATCGCATCCAAAAATAATCTCTGTATGGGTAGTTGGAAGAGAGACCGAAACTACAATACTGAGCATAAAATAGGCTTGCGAATGGTGGAATATCACGTATAATTGGCTGTACTGGACGGCGGCGGACATTTGCAGGATCGTTCTTCAAACTACACAGCGCAGTCCGAATGAAAATGGAAAATATCTTAAACCTCGCAGACTTCAGGACAACAGTTGTTGAATAACAATGTCACCAAAAGTTACTGCAACTCTACCAGCTTGGCTTACAGGTGACGGTTGTGAGCCGAAATAAGGTAACCAAAAGACCGAAGATGCGGTCAATAAAGGCGAAAAACGGATCCACCCTATTACTGTTACAAAGCAACAATAAACTTTTGAAAGCAACGCATTTTAGCTGGTCAGACCAAGGGCTGAAACAATTCAAACCAAGTCGACAAACTTCAGAACTGAACCAGGAATATGTCGATGTTAGCGTCTCATATCGACCTGTACTGACGAATTCAAACCAATGCTCGTCCGTCCGGTCGCTTTTGTCATCCCGGGGACCATAACACCACCACCCCAAAATGTCAGAAAATCGACATACTTCATGGACAGAATTCAACCCTTCCTCGAGAGAACAATTACGGCCGTCTCAAGGTGCTTCTCCAAGGTTGCACAGCAGCTGCGCACCAAAATCCCATCAAAACCGAAGTCTGATTTTTTTACACTATAAAGTTCCAAGACGAAACAATATACACCATTTTTGTGCATGATAGAAAGGACATTTCGGTTTAGCAACTCAATAAGCAACTTAACTATGAAGCGATCGAGTATCCGATAACAAACACTAAAAAGACCTGGCTTTTTTCGTCGCAGGTACTGAGGGCGTCAAAAAGGACGCGAGTCCGTTCAACTAGAAACTACGTTACACATTAAATGAGCTGGGTCTAGTGTCCTTTGTCGGGGTGATTCCTCCTAAAGCAGACATTGTTAGGACACGATTGTCTGAATTTCTCATTGGACTGCGCTGATTCGGTCGGGGATGATGTGTTGTGCGATGTGTGGCCAAGGCCCTTGGGGCTACAACAAGAGCGATACTGTTGTCATTCAGCCTTTCCGCATTGGTATGAACAGAATACGGAGAATCGACCACACAAGAGTGGCGGAGATGAAACCACAAGTATGAGCATACAAACAAAAATAGTGTCTAAAAACGACAAATTGCTTTTTCGATCGGCAAACATATGTACGTAATGGTGAGACAAACTGAACCGACCAGATGTGAATGTTGTCGACAAATTCCTCCTCACAAAGTACGGCATTCACCCATCAGTTGTGAACTGCACTCAGTTCATTCCACAATGGAACAAATCCAGAAACAAGTAGGATGGCAGAAATTGGAAACACATAGTAAGATTAAAAAACCTCAAATCCAGTAACTCCTAATCAAGGATATTTTCATTGAACAATGAATTCAAAATCAAAAGGAATTTGAAAAAAGCTGGTCGGCAAGCACACGAGCATCAAGGTTTGAGGCCAACAAACGGATTGACTGAACCCAGACCAGTCAAGAGTCCGCTGTCAGGACTGGGTTGCAGAATGAGTTTCTGAATTTCACGGAAGCTGGGATGTTCCGATCCACATAGGATGGTGAGGAGCGCCGATTCACAGGTGGTTAGGTAGACGCCCGCTTGGCTCATACGATGGTAGGCGACCATTCTGAGGTGGGAATAAATGAGTGGATATAAACGAAATTGAAAAATAAGTAAATCTAATAGATCGTCCAGCTGTAGCACCCTTTCGGTGCCTAGCTGCTATGCCACACGAAGGAGGCACGAGGGCTGGAATACTGTCAGGTTCCCCAAGCCTAGACAGGGGAAGTCGAGTGGCAGAGGCCGGGTTTGAACCACGGACCTTCCAGTCAGTAAATTCGCGCTCTAACCACTTGGTCCATCTCTCCCCAAAACGAAATTGAGTTGATCAATGGGTCATTCTATGGGTTAAATAGCGGACGAATACGCCATTAAGTACGTTCGAGAGACGAGCAAGAATAATGCACTTCGGATTGAGGGACTTAAGACATTCACTCGTTTATCAGAACGTAATCCGTTCCTTATTTCGGTATCTGCCTTCATGGAACAAACAACAAGTTGTCCAGGAGGTCAAAAGTTTTAGGTTTGGATTTCATCTGCAAGCGAAGCCGGCCAAAGACCGAGAAGCACTGTCTGGTGGATTCATTATTGTTGGGAAGTAACAGGAGCATGTACCTTAAGAATATGAGGAACCCATGCCCTCCTTGGTAGGAGATGAATCATTACCATTCTTCCACGGGCGTCTGATCAGCATCGGGGCTGATTCAGTATCCCTCACCGTTCACGTCACACGACCTCCTGTCAACTGCTCGAGGTGAAAATGTCTTGAAATTTGGCAACAAACTAAACGCATCACGCAGTAGTGATGAGATTTGAAACTTGGCAGTCAGCTGAGCAATCAGTTAAGCTAGTCGACAAGATGGAGGACTACCTTAATCGTTCACGGCCACAGAACTGTGTTCGTGGGTGTTTTTAGAAGACAGTTGAGAAGCGTCAGTGAAAATACTACCCACAAACTAATTGAAGATGTAGCAAAGTGAGTAATAAGGTTTCTATGCGGGGTGCTCAGACCATCTCGTCAAAATCCCTGTAGTAGAGGAGGTAACATTAGATGGCCCCATACTTCCACTGCGGCCATTTGTCACACCCCGTTTGACTGGATTATTGTTCGATTTTCGATGCGATTTGTTATCCGCCTATCGAAATCCATGGAATTCTATGTAGAAGTAGTGTTTTACGGTCTAACAAGTAGGAGATCACATAACTTTTTTGTGGATTGTATATTTCGTATAACGATAGCGTTCGTATTCCTATTTAGAAGATCGTGCGTTCAACTCATTCTAGACAATCTCGTATTCTTGAAATAGCAGTATTATCCTGTCTCTCGGCTTTTGGCATCGATTGATTTCACTCACACTCGAACTTCCAATATCTGTTCAGTGCGGCTTC